GACCCTAGCCGTGGGCCCCAGCCCACCATGTCTGCTCAGCATTAATGATACAAATCAGCTTCCTTTCAGAGTGGCCTGGACCCATTTCACAACACTCTCTGGGTGCAGTTCTTCAGTAAGCTCATGTCTATCAGGTGCATGAGGACACCATGGGACACTTTGCCAAATATTTGGCTGATATTTGGGGGCACTATGTGCATGACATTCCCCTCATCAGTCTAATAACCGTCAGCCTAGGGAAGAGGGTGAATCTGTGTAAGGGGCGAGCGGGTCACTGACAACTCCGTCCCATTCAAGAAAGTGACAAGATGTTTCACCAGTCAGTTTGCTCCTAGGCCATAGACTGAGTGCAGATGCTGGATTAAGCCAGCCGCCTGGGGTGTGGCAGAGGAGAGGCCCTTGTCCTGGCTTTGTCTCCTCCTCTGCTCCCCCAACCCTTCTGGCAGGAGGAAAACTCTAAGCAGGTTATTGTTGAAGGGTCTGGAAGATGGTGTCTGGAATGTCTGCACCAGGCATCTGTGTTGACTCAGGGTAACTTCAATCTGTGCCAGATTCTGTGTGCCCCACTTGGGTCTGTGGGGAGAGTGTCCATCTGCTCCAGGCTTGATTCTAGCCATCACCATCTGGAGAGCCCCGCTGCCTTCCCACCAGGGCGCTGATGCTCTGGAGGCCCTCTTCATGCTGCCAGCAGGGTGGCGTCAGGGTGTGCTGGTCCTCCTTCATGTCTTAGCCCCCAGTTCTCTGCTGCTCCTCTTTTCTTTCAGTGGGTGTCTTAGCAAGGACACCAAGGGTTTCTTATTTGTCTTAAGCCCTTTGGTGAATGGGAAGGTCCTTCTAAAAAAGGTGGCAGCTTTCCTGAATGTGTCCCCAGGTACAGGGCCAGCAGACTGACTGTTCTTGTAAATCTAGCAATGCCTGGGTCCATGGTCCTTCCCCCCCACACCCCCACCCCCAGCATCTGGGCCACCCTTAGGCCTCCCTGGCAGATAGGTGGGGTAGCAGAGTTACCTGATAGCCCTGTTCTTTGCCATCTCTTTGGGAACTTTAGGTTGTGCTGTGGTCTCAGGCCATTAACATCACATAATGGCCATTTCTCCTTCAGCCCTGTCCTCCCCACCTTCTCCCATGAAAGCCTACCCAGAATTCCATTGCCTAGGACTCTTATCAGCAAGATCCATAGCAGAGAGACAGAGCAGAGGAAAGGGCAGAGGCAGTGAGGAGGGGGTACCACCCAAGATGGAGGCAAGAAGTCCTGGGTTCAAATTCTGCCTCTGGCCTTTAGGAGCTCTGTGGCCCTGGGCAATAACTTTCTGTGCCTCAGTTTCCTCCTATATAAAATGAAAAGAGACTAGAATCTCCTCCTGGGTGACATTTAGAAGCCAGTCTTAAGGCACTGTGTATCAATACGTGCTATCATTGTTGTTGAAACTTCCACAAGAAAAGACAAAACCTTTTGAATGTCAATGACAGATTGAAAAAAATAGGCATTCTGGGGGGTCCCACAAGGCTCTGTCCTGGCCCATCTTCTCCCTCTACACTATTTCTCTGGATGATCTCCTTAGCTTCTGTGGTTTCAATGATCATCTTTATCTCAGAAGCAGCTGGTGTTGCAGTAGAGACAGTGCCTACCCTGGAGTTAGGAAGACCTTGGTTCAAATCCAGGCTCAGACACTTCCTGGCTGTGTGACCCTGGGCAAGTCACTGAACCTCTATTTGCCTCAGTTTCTTCAACTGTAAAATGGGGATAATAATAGCACCTACCTCTCAGGGTTGTTGTGAGGATCAAACAAGTGTTTAGCACAATGCCTGGCACACTGTAGGCACTCTATAAGTGGTTATTTCATTCCCTCCCCTCTTTTTCCCCCAAAGCAGATGATTCTCAGATATATTTGACCAGTGCTAACCTCTCTTTTGACCTCCATCTCTAACTTGTCTGTTCGACATCTTGAAATTGACATCCTATAGACATCTTAAACTCATTGTGCCCACAACTGAACTTATCTTTTTCCTCAAACTCTCTCCTCTTCCTAACTTCTATACTACAGCTGAAGGCCCCCCTCCCCATCCTCCCAATTCTCCAGTGTTCACATCCTAGGAGTCATCCTGGATGCCTTACTCTCCCTCATATCCAAAGTGCCAAGGCCTGTCATTTCAATTTCACCTCTGCAACATCTCTTGTCAGTTTCATCTCTGCCACATTTCCTGTCCATTTCACCTCTGCTGAATCTCCACAGCACCTCTGGTCAATTTCACCTCTGCTGCACCTCTGGTCCATTTCATCTCTGCAGTACCTCTGGTCAATTTCATCTCTACCGCACCTCTGCAATACCTCTGGCCAATTTCACCTCTGCAGTTACCTCTGGTCAGTTTCACCTCTGCAGCACCACTCCAATATGCACCCTTCTCTCTGACATTGCCCTCACTCTGGGACAGACCTTCATCACCTCATACCTGGACTATTGTAGTTGCTGTTGGGTGGGAGGTCTGCCTGCCTCAGTCAAATGGGGTCAAATGTACAAGCCTCTGCTTGGCTTGTATAGCCCTTTACACTCAGGCCCCTTCTTACCTTTCTACTCTTCTTACATTTCTGTCCTCTATATACTCTGTGGTCTTGTGACATCAGCCACCTCACCTCCCCATCTCCTGACACCAGGCCTGTACTGGAAGGCTTTACTTCAGCATCTTGGCCTCTTGGCTCCCTTCAAGTTCCAGTTAAAATCCTACCTTCTCTAGGAAGCCTTCATTCTAGTGCTTTCCCTCTGTCGGTTACCTCCTATTTATTTTGTCTGTGTCTGCATGTTGTCTCTCCCATTAGACTATGAGCTTCCCAAGGGCAGGGACCCTATTTTTTCTTTTCTTTGTACCCCCAGTGCATCTTTATATACCCCCTTAGCACAGTGCCTGGCACATAGTAGATGCTTAATAAATGCTAGTTGACTGATATCTTTGTGGGTCCTGGTGTTGTTAGAACAATCCAGTAATGAGCCCACAAGGTGTAGCAAATTGTCAACTTCATCTAGAACCACTTCAAGTTTATCTTCATATTTCTAGTGCTAATGAGTCCCTATCACCCTCGGTGGTGGGGGTATCAGAGTTAGGTGAAGGACATTTGCTTAGGTAACACCCCCTCCTGGGCCATGCCCCCAACTTGCACTGAGGGTTGTGTCTCCATAGAGCAGCTGCTACTTTGTATTCAAGGAATACACTGTGGGTACCACTTCTACTATGACAACTGACAAGCCCCATCTGGTGTGTGTTGCCTTAATATTCACCCAGTAGTTACAATTATCTCTTAGCATAGGCATTTCTATGACATAGTAAGAACAAAGTTAACAAAATTCTCCACCTGCCCTCAGTAAACTTGGGGTGCACTTTCTCTCAAATACAGCATCTGTGGGAAGAGTAAGCACAAACTTAAAGTGAGAGTAAGGCTGGCATATATGGAGCAGATGGTTAAGGCAACTCACAATTCCAGAACTTTGGGCCTCAATGTCCTTTCTCTACTCATGGAGACATCACAGGGCTCCCGTTCTGAGATTGGTCTCCACCAGATGTCCCATTCAGCAGGGCTCTCAAGGTCTTTCAGGATTTTCTTCTCTCTGCAGTTTGACTTTCAAATATTAGTTAGCTTCTACAATCTCTTGGGATTCAGAGCTAGCTCTCTTCTCTGCTGCCATGCTCCTTGAAACTACTGCCAACCTCACATGTCTACATCTGACAGGAGAGTGTGTGTCCCTGTTTGACTGCTGGTTCTATCAAGGAATGAATGCTCAAACTATTGGATATGGTCCTTCCTGGGAGAGTAGCTCCATTGCTAGATGCCCCACTTGGAGGAAGGGAGAGAATCCCCCTCCTTTTCCTCTAGTGTTGAAGAATTGGGTTCTTCTGTAACTACTGGCTCCTACTTGAACTGCAGAGAACTCGTAAGCAGTCAGGGTGTGGACAATTCTGTGGACAGTTCTCAGCCAGCTAATGGCATTGGCCCTTTCCATTGAATCAGATAAAGGTATTCAGAAAGCAGGACCACTGGGTATGACATCTTAGTGACATCTGGTTATCTGTATTGGCCTCCTGGGGGTACTAACACCTTCTCCTGAGCTTGGAGAAGGGGCCCAACTTCTCCCCCTTGCTCTTAAAGCAGAATGTAAGGTAAATACACATGTATGACCTTGCAACTGGAAGCACTCCAGCTGTCCTTTCTCAAGGCTACCATCTATGCACATTTCCTGGGGGATTGCACCCATGGTCCACTCACTCTGTACTCATTCCTCCCCTGCAGCACAAAGGGCTTGGAAAGGTGCCCAGGTAACTTGTCTCTTCAACAGTGTGTGTGTGTGTGTGTGTGTGTGTGTGTGTGTGTGTGTGTGTGTGTGTGTGTGTGTGTGTATAACCTTTGTCACTCAGGGAGCTGACAAGCACCCTAACTGCAGCTATCAGTTTCTATGACTTGCAGCCAGATATCTTGGCTTCTCCCTATGACCACCAGTACCCACAAAACGTCTTGATCCTTTCCTGTTCTGTCACTGATATCCAGGTGTGTTCCTTCCCTCCTCTGGCCACATCCCCCCAGACTGCTACTTGCAAGCCTTTGCTCATGAGACCAGCACATAGCTGGACAGGTGTGATCATGCTTGGATACATCACATAGGCTTTTAGGGAACACAGAGTTCTCTGTGTTGTAAGCCTACTTGTGCATTGCAGAACCCACCCCTGTTCCCTTGTAGCTGTTCTGAAAAAGCCCCTTGCCTCATAAGAGGACCCCAGCAATGGGTACAAATGACCCCAAAGCTTCAGAGCCTCTTAGAGTGGCGGGGTTGAGCCAGGCACCAGTGGGATTCTCAGGTCCAGGCCCCTCTGGGCCTCTCCCAGATACCATCCTCTCAGCCTCCATTTCCCGAGTATTTCTTGCTGCCTGAGGAGAGAGGCTCCTAAGGGAACATTTCCTTTCCCATGTGGCTGCCCCGGGGATGGGGACTGGTCTGACAGGACTCTTGGGGCAGGTGTGGGGTGAAGGGGTCAGCCTGGTGAGGAAGCGTGTGCCCCAGATACTGCAAAGGGAGCTGATCCATTTCTACACCAACCCTGGCTGTGTCACCCTCCTGCTGAACCCCAAGGGCCAGGTGAGTGGCAGGGGCCATGGTCAAAAGCCTTCCGAAGGAGGGAGGGCTCTGGTCCCCAGAAGTGCAGCCACCACAGGTGTGGGGATGCCACCATGGGCAGGGCAGGCTCTGGCACCTCTCCTGGGGGAATGAGGTAACCAGTCAGTCCCCCAGGTGATGAGTGAGTATCAGGCACAACACTGTGTGAGCGAGGCCTCCAGATCCTTTGCTGACCACACGGACATATCTATCGACTGCTATCCCCTTCTTGAGAACGAGGGAGAGAAGCCCCAGGAGGCCCCAGGCCTTGGGAGCAAGAGCCGCGGCCAGCAGTTCCGGGCCCCAAAGAAGACCAAGGTCCCAGGGCCTCCCCCTGGCCTGGAGGGCCAGCCTGGGCCCCGCAGAAGCAGGTGCGGGAGTGGAAGGGAGGGGTAGGATTGGCTCAAGTCTGGCCAGCTTATCAACCCTGGGGCTAAATGCATTCTCACTTTTCCCTTCCCCCTATCCCTAATTCCTCTGGGAACACAGCTCTGTAGTCTCCTGAACCTCACCCATTTCCCTGCCGCATACCCCCTGCAGGGCGGTACATGCCCGTCCACTAACACTGCCTGCTGCCTCCTTGCAGGCTCCTGAAGCCCATACCCAGCATTAACATATCCAAGAACTTCAGCCAGTGGCAAGTGAAAGAGGCTGTGGCTGGCAGGGAGTCTCTTCATGGTGCCACGGTGCCACTCCCCACCATTCCAGGTGCCCCCCCAGGAGCGCCCTCCTTCCCTCCCCTCCCCATCACTTGTCCCTATGTCTCATGTGGACTGTTACCTATGACTTTCCCAAATCTCCATCTCCGCCTATGGGGAGGTAGGGGTGGGGGGCTGACAGGGCCATGATGCTGCTGAGGGCTGACTGTTCCCCATGACTCTCCCAGATCTCCACCCCTGCTGGTGGGGAGGTGGGGGTGGGGTGGGGTGGGATGGGAGGGCTGGCTGCTGAGGGCTGACCCTCATGCTGTCCCTTTACCTTCCTCAAACAGAGCTGGCACAGCTGCCAGGCATTGGCAAGAAGATGCAGGAGAAGTGCATTCCTGTGAGTGGCCTGTTTGTGAATGTGTGTGTGTGTATGACTAAGACCTTGTAACCCTTATAAGGTATGTGAGAGATGTGTGTATATGTGTTTGCATAAGACCTTACAGCCTGTGGGGAAGTGTGTGTGTGTGTGTGTGTGTGTGTGTGTGTGTGTGTGAGAGAGAGATATATGTTTAAGACCTCAGAGTCTGGAGGTAGTATGATGTGTGTCCCAGTCAGGGGGGTGGGGGCAGGTAATATGTGTGGTGTGATGTGTTTGTGTAAGACCTCATAGCCTGGGGGGTGTGTGTGTGTGTGTGTGACGTATACAAGTGGAGGGTGTTGTGTGTTTGGGGGAGGGGGCTAGCCTGGGAGCAAGGCCCTGTTCCTCTGGGGGCCAGCAAGCCTGCTGCCCAGGCAGCCCCCCATCCCCCTTTCCCATGACCGGCCCCCTCCTTCTCTCCCCTCAGAGAGCAAACCAGTTCCTGCCTCCATGGATCTGCAGGAAACATGTGGATGTGGACTGTCCCATGGTGGCCCTAAGCGTGCAGAAGACCACGGAGAGCAGATTTGGGCAGAAGCAGCTGAGTTATCCCCCCATCACCAGAGAGCTGAGGGAGCCTCTGTGAGGGGCACAGACATATCCTACAATACATGTGCCTCGAGTAGCTCTGTGTGATGGGGGGGACAGGGACAAGGGGCTCCAGGGGAGCCCCAGCTCAGGTGGGGGAGGAGGCCAGGGGCAGAAGTGACACACTGGCTGCATAACTCATCTATTAACCAGTATTAACTGAAAATAAAACCTCCTTACATTTCTGTCCAACCAAGAGAAGACACTGATTGACAAAGAGGGAGGGAGGTCCTGCCCCAGTATCTGATCCATCAGGACTGGGCTCTGGACCCCCACACATCCCCACCCCCCACCAGGCTGAGGCTCCAGCACCAAGTGACTTCAGGCAAGAATTTTGTTCCCCTCCACTCAAGCGTCTTGCCCTCCTTCCCCAGCCCAGCCCCTCCCATCCTAGGACTCGTGGGGTGCCATGGGGATGGCCCCTGCCCCAAGCATTGGCCGGCTCTCATCCCTACTGCCCCCTCCGCAGAGTCTCTGACAGGACTCAAGGGTCAAGGAGGCCTTGTCGGGGCTCTGTGTCCTTGGGGTCAGCTGCAGGTCTTGGATCTGGTGTCAGCGGCTCTGGGGACCATGTCTGCTTGCCCAAGCAGCTGCCACCACAGTGTTATGACTTAGAGTTCCTCTGGGGTTGGGCTGGGGGTGTTGGGGGTGGGGTAGTGATGGGTCCCAGGCTGGGCCGGCTGGGCAACCTGTGTAGGGTGCTGCTGCCGCCGCTGCTGCTGGTGAGCGGCTGGGCAGGGGCTGGCAGAAGCATCTTCTCTGGGGCCTTGGCTGGAGAGTGGATAATGGGCTGCCTATAGCTGGGTCCCTCGGGCGCACTTCTCTCTGCCTGATGTCTGAGGAGAGAGAAGGCTGGCTCCAGTGGGGAGGGTGTGTAGGAGACAAAGGATGCAGGTGACTGGACCCTGGCTGCTGGTCTGAGGCCCTGTGGGCTGAACCTGAGGGGGGAAGAAGCAGCTGAAGACCTGGTCTGTCCTGTCCAGGGGTTCTGCAGGGGCTTAGGAGTGTTCGAGATTGCCCTTCTCTAGCTCTCCTCACCCCAGTCCTCTCTTCAGGGGGGTGGTGGATCAAAGTCTGCTGGAGGCAAGGGCTTCCCAGTCATCCCCAGGGCACTGGTCTTCTCCTTCCCTTCCTGACAGCAGAGGATGGGAGGGGGAAGAGGGAGGAGACAGAGAAACAGAGAGGAAGGAGAGGAAGGGAGGGAGAGAGAAGAGACAGTATAACATATTTGGGAGTCTACCTGCCAAGACAAACCCAGGAACTATGAACACAGTTACAAGATACTTTTCACGTAAAGTCAGATCTAAATAATTGGAAAAATTTCAGTTGCTCATGGGTAGGCCAAGCTAATATAATAAAAATGACAATTCTGCCTAAGCTAATTTACTTATTCTGTGCCATACCAAACTACCAAAAAAATTATTTTATAGAGCTATAAAAAATAACAAAATTCATCTGACAGAACAAAAAACCCAGAATATCAAGGGAATTAAAAAGAGAGGCAAGGGAAGGTGGCCTAGCTGTACCAGATCTAAAACTATTACAAAGCAGCAATCATCAAAACTACTTGGTACTGGCTAAGAAATAGAGTGGTATACTCGGGCTATAATCCAAAGAGATCATACAAATGAGAAAAGGACCCACATGTACACAAACATTTACAGCAGCTCTTTCTGTGGTGGCCAAGAATTGGAAACTGAGGGGATATGCCCATCAGTTGGGGAGTGGCTGAACAAGCTGTGAATGTATATGAATGTAATGGAATATTACTGTGCTGTGGGAAGTGATGAGCAGGTGAACTTCAGAAAAACCTGGAAAGACTTACATGAACTGATGCTGAGTAAAGTGAGCAGAACCAGGAGAACATTGTACACAGTAACAGCAACATTTGTCGTGGTCAACTTTGATAGACTGTGCTCTTTTCAGCAATGCATTGATCTAAAACAATTCCAAGGGACTCATGCTGGAAAATGCTGTCCATATCCAGAGAAAGAACTATGGAGTCTGACTGCAGATCAAAGCATACTATTTGCTCTTTTTCCCTTTCTCATGGTTTTTCCCTCTTGTTCTGATTCTTTTTTCACAAAATGACTAATGTGGAACTATGTTTAATATGATTGTACATATGTAGCCTATATCAGATTGCATGCCATCTTGGGGAGGGGGAAAAATTTGGAACTCAAAATCTTATGAAAGTGAATGTTGAAAACTAAAATAAATTTAATTTAAAAATTAAAAGAGACAGAAATAGAGACAGAGACAGAAGAGGGAGGGAGGGGGGAGAGAGAGAGAGAGAGAGAGAGAGAGAGAGAGAGAGAGAGAGAGAGAGAGAGAGAGAGAGGGAGAGGAAGAGAAGAGACAGACTCAGACTGTCACAAACACACAGAAATAGAAGAGACAAGGTGCATACATAGACACAAGAGGTAGATGGAGAAGAGACAGCAGAGGATCCTTCCTGCTGGGGGTGGGAGGAGGTTAGAGTGAGCATTTGGAAGGATTCTTTACGTGGCCTTGGTGAGTCCAGATCCCACAGATGGCTTGACCCCTCGATGCTCTGGCTGGCTCTGGGATCCTGGGCTTCTCAGGGCCATGAGACACCTGAAGGGAGTCCGCGGGGCTAACCTCTTCCCTAGGTGGGCCCCTGCCTCTGAACTGGACAATGGACTGATGGTGAGGTTCAGGCTCATTCGCCTGCCCCGAAGCTCCAACCTTGAGTGCCCTTTGGGGCTAGACAGTGGGGGTGGGGATGGGCACTTGAGGGAAGAAGGGATCAGGGGGTAGCTGGGCCCAGCTGGCTGTCTGCTGCTGCTCATGACTTTGGAAAGATCTGGAAAGCAATGGAGGTCATGGGTTCAGCAGAATGACCACCAGGGAACCCAGTGCCCTCCACACTCTGGGGGCTCTGGGTGCTTGGTCTTTGCCCTCCGGGAAAATGTCCCTAATGGTCTGATACCAACTGGGAAGGGAAGTAGCCCGTCCCAGCCATCCACAGACCTGCCATCACCCATCATGAATCACCCCCATGTTCATGAACTTGGAAATCCCCCTATGAGATTCCAGTCTCTCCCTATGCCTTCCAGCCCTAGGCCCTGTTCTTCATTGGCCCCCTGACCCAAGGGAGCCCCCCCCCAAGACCTGCACCCTCTTCCCAACCCCGTGCTAATGCCCCCTCGGCCAGCCTACTCAGCTCAACTCTTGCTGCCTTCTGCCCTCCCAACATCAAGCCTTTGCCCTGGGTCCTTCCTGCCATGTGCTGGGGGAGAAAACCCCTAAACTCTCTGCTGGGGTCTGCCGTGCATTCACAGCCCCCTCCTTCCACAGCGCTCTGCCAAACCTTTTCATCCCTTATGCCTCCCCCTGACCATTCTCCCAGATGAGGAGGCCAGGATGAGAGCTCCTTCTTCTCCCTGGCCTTGGCCTCACTTAATGAGGTGGCTGAGCCTTCTGCATGCACAAGTGACTCCCTCCATCCTGTCTTCTCTGTACACTCAGTTACTTGTCTCCAGGCTGCTTCCCTCCCTCCTCATCTCTGCCTTCTGGCTTCCCTCAAGTCTCAGCTAATGTCCCATCTTCTGCCAGAAGCCTTTCCCAGCCTCCCTCTATCTTGGTGCGTAGCCCCACTCTATTCTCTGGAAAGTTTGTTTGTACATGGTTGTTAGCATGTTGGATTGTGAGTTCCTTGAGGGCAGGCAGGGTCTGTTTGCCTTTCTTTGTATGGGCAGCTTAGCACAGTGCCTGGCTCACAGTGGGTGCTCATGATTACTTGGTGATCACTGTAGTCCAGGCTTCTCTAAGCATGCCCAATTCCATGGAGAGCTCGCCCAGTTTACCAGCAGGGAGCCTGTTGCATCCCCTTCCTCATGGGGGGTGGGGGGATGGCAGCCTGCTTTGGCTGGGCTTTTAAAAGTGGCAAGCTAGTCACTGTCTCCTTTTGGGGAGAGTCCTCTCTGTTCTGCCCATCAAGGACACCATGGACTGACTTGGGAGGGGACTCTCCTCTCCCCATCCCTCTCTTTACCCCAGCTCCCACTTGGAAGGGGGCAGCCTCGGCTGACTGATGAGATCACAGAGATTTGGGGAAGGCAGGAGGGGAAGAGGAGGCTCCACTGGAGAGCTGGAGGATAGGAACCATCGGGCCTGGACAGATCAAGAAGGGTCTGAAAGGACAGGGGAGCTGTGAGTGTATTTGAGGCAGCAGCCACTAGGTGGGAAACATTGGAGCTTAGTGAGAGCGGAGATGACGGAGGGGGCCGTCTGTTGGAGGAGAGGGGACAAGCATTTGTCGAATGCCTACTCTATGCCAGGCCCTATGTGCTGGGGTCACTTGTGCAGGTAGAGGGGTTTGTCTGGCACAGGGAAGGCCCAGGGGGCAGAGGAGGACCACCACAAGCAGGGAGACCCTGGGAGGGGCAGGACCTTGCCTGGATCTGCTCCTCCTCCAATATAAAAAAGGGGGATTGCAGCTGTAATGTCAGGGACTGCCCCTATGTCTATGACCAGTCTCTGTCTTCCAGACCTCGTACAAGACCCAGGCACATCCATGAAGTACTTGAAGACCAGGGGTCTTCACAACGTGAGTGGAACCCTCTATCAGTCTGCTTCCATGTTTGCGTGCAGTCCTGGCTCCCTCCCTCGTCAGAGTCTCCAAGGACCCTTACTGACCCTTTGCCTGAGTGGGGGGCACCAGAAGGGTCTTTGGGACATCAAGGGGCAAAAGGTGACCTTGGGAAGAAGGTGGAAGGCAGATGGAGGAGTGAAATAGGGGCCTTTAGGGGCAGGAGACTGAAGAGGTGATCGACCAGCTGGAAGGAAGGAAAACAAGCGGGGAGGCAGGGAGGTGTTACCTGGGGCAGGGCTTGGGGAGCCTGGGCAAGACCCGAGGGGCCCCTTGGCCTTCTCCTCTTCCTCCTGGTCATTCAGCACAATCGAGTCCTCTTCCTCTTCCTCTTGGGAACACACCTGGGAAATCTGGGAGCTTCTCCCCACAACCAGCCTCTTGAAATACCTGCTTCTTAGCTCACCACCCTGGCCCGGCCTCCCTGCAGCTCTCCTTGCTCTCCCCCTCCCGGGACCTGGAATACTTGGAAATCTCACCCCTCCTCCTCCTCTCAGGCCACTCCCAACTCCCCCCACTTCCTGCCCTCACAAACACACCCCCTTCAGAGTGTGCTAGGCACTGGTGAGGACAGAATGAGTCAGTGCTGGCCCCAAAGCTTGTTTGACCAGGGACACACACAGTGTGAACAGTGAAGCCCTAATGGGGAATCTCAGGAAGAAGAAGGTTCTATCCACTAGGGAAGCCCCCTCATGTAAGGGGGATCTGGTGCGCACCCAAGCACTTCCAGGGGCATCCCTCTCCCATGAGAAGAGGCTGAGGCTGCCTTCTCATGGGGGAGATCTTGAGGCCTTCCTCCCTCGGAAGCCAAGGGGGCCTGAGAGATGGGCCTTGGTTCCAAGCCCTCTTCAGAACTGAGTCAAGGACTCCCCCAGCTACTGCAGATGAGGCCACCAGATGTGACTCCTTGTACTAGTGTGACAGAGGGTTGGGTGTGGCCAGCTCACCCAAGATGGAGGACCCTGTGCAGGACGTGTAGGGTCCCCTTCCACGTGGCTGGGAGCCACTGTTGGCTACATCTTGAAGCCTACATGATTGGCACAGTTGTGCTCTCTGTTTCCCAAGGTGCCCAGGGTAAAGGTCCCATTCACCCAAGCCCTGGCACTACGCACCAATCTGGGTGGGGGAAGGGGCTACCCAAGAACCCAGTGGGGATTCGGCCATTTGTCCTTCCCTTCTCAGCTGTAGGCACAGGTGGTGGAATCCCCTAGATTGCCAGAGCAACCTTGAATTGACCTTGGGCCAGGATTCCCCAGCAAGGGGGTCTTGAGAAGCCAGAAGGCCCAGACCTGAGCCTCAGGGGCTTTGTCCTGGTGGGACTGTGCTGTGTGAGAACTGAGCTTGGTGGGTCTCCTGATCCTCTTCTCCTCCCAAGGCCCAAGGTGCTGCCCACAGGCATAAGGGGATGCTGACATGTTTGTTCTTTCAAGGCCCCACTCCTTTGTAAAAGCTAATGTGACTGAAGAGGGGTGCTGCGACCCCCAAGTCAGTGGGGAGTTGAGCCCATGTCAGATACTACCTACTCCCCCAAACCTTCAAGGGCCCTGGAGAACCCTGGGGGAGACAAACCCAGCTGACTCTCAGGCCATGGGAGTGTGAGAGGGGGAGGCTGATGAAGGTTCTCCATGGCTTCCACAGTCAAACAGAGACTCTAGTCTGGGTTTCAGATAGTCTCTGCTATCTGGCCCCTCCAAGTGCTTCCTCATACACACCCACAGAGGCAGAAACCCCCAACCCTTTACAGGCAGGAGGGCATGGAGGTGGGCAGAGAAGGGGCCATTTTAGAGTGTGCAAAGGGGAAGGAAGGGATGGAGGCTAGGGGAAAGCAGGGAAGTGGGCTGGATCATGCCTGACCCTTGTGGCTGCTGCCCTCTGGCCACCTCTGCCCCTGGCTCAAAGCTGAGCTGGGGGATCCTGGAGGGATTGCCACCTCCTTAGTTCTGCTGCCAGCTTGGCCTGGGACAGTCCCATGCTAAGGTCGGGCACCTCCCAGGTCATCCTACCTTGTAGCCCCCTCCTGCATGAAGGGAGGCCACTCAGGCTTTCTGGCTTTGAGCCCAGGGGCATGGCCAGGCATCCAGGGCTGGGCAGTGGAGGAGCCCTGAGTCCTCTCTCCCTCTCAGCTCACCATTGCTGCCGCTTCTCCCTCCAAGCCTTGAACTGTGCCCAGAGGTCCTCTTCCCCACCAGAGGGCTCTTCCGGTCCCTTCAGAGGTGACCTGACAAACCCCAGGGCTGGAGGCTGGGGAGCTGTGCGTCCACTGTGGTCCTGGGAGCAAGTGAGAACCTTGGTTGAGGATGCAGGGGTCCAGGAGGTAGGATGAGGAAGGCATGCACTCATCCCAAACTGGGGGAGACCACAGTCCCCTGGGGCTGGATAGGAATGCGTCCTGGGGGAGCCTCTGGGCTCAAAGCAGGCAGTGCCTTCTTTGGCCTGGGAGCATCTGCTGCAGCAGGCAAGGTGGGGCTCCCTTGTTTGCCGGGGGGGGGGTCAGAGAATCTGGGATGTCAGAAGTATGGCCAGGGTTCAGCACCTTCTGTGCCTGGTGTAGAGCTAGATGGTGGCTTGGAGTCCAGGGGGCTGACACCCTCAAGCTGGGCTCAGGGACCCATGGAGGCAGGCCTTGCTAACTCCTGAGGCTGGTGGGGTGGGTCTGCTCTGAGGGGGTACCTGGTAGCAGCGGCTGGAGCTGCAGCCTGAGGTGGGCTGGGGCCTCAGAGGCTGCTGAGTGTTGGACAGGAAGGGGTGTGTAGAGGAGGGTGGGAGAGGGGAGACTTTGACCTGAAGGTCAAAGGTCCAAGGATTACTCTGGCCAACAAGGAGAATTGCTGTGAAAGGGTGTGTGTGGGAGGGTGGGTGGGGGGTGAACTTCCTTATCAAGGGGAACAAAAGTAGAGCTCTGCTCCCCAGGGGGCTCCTGACCTCCACTCCTGCTCTACTCCCCAGGGGCCTCCTGACCTCTACTCCTGCCTTCTCCCCAGGGGCCTTCTGCCTGCTCCCCAGCAGGGCTCAGCAGGGCTCCCGACCTCCACCCCTACTCCACTCCCCAGGGGACTCCTGGCCCCTGCCCCTGCCCCAGGCTCCCAGCCTCTACCTGCTTCTTTCCCCTGGGGAGCTGGGGCTCTTCCTTCCCTGACCACCCAGATCTCAGCCCATGCTCGGGGCTCTTCAGGGGTGCCTCTTTGGGGGTGGCGTGTTAGGGAGTCTTTGGCCTGTGGAATGCCATCCCCAAGGGGAACACAGACACCTACACATAGCTTCTGCCGGCGCTCCTGCAGGCCTTTGATGGGGTTTCCACAGAGGACCCGACTGACTCCTGAAAGAAAGGAGGTTAAGTCAGCTCCCTGGTGGAAGTCAAGGGAAGGACAATGGATCCTGAGGAGAGACATGTCCACCCAGCTGCTAGGGGTGCACACCATGGGTCAGGTCACTGGAATCACTGGTGTCAGGGGCCAGCTCCTCGGGGAGGAAGGCTTCTGGAAGGGGACTCCCAGGAGATGACAGGGGCATTGTCCAGGGCAGCCGGCCCACAGGGAGAGGCCATGGCTGTGGAGTTGGTGGTAAAGGGCTCGTGGACAGCCTCAGATTGGGGTTGAGCCTCTGCCTTGGTAAGCCTGCATAAAAATCTGAGTGAGAAAGAGAGAGGAGTGTTGTCAACCTGGTCAGGGCCCTCCCAGAAGTCACAGGACAAGGGGGAGGCCTCTGACATTCTGGGTGGAGGATTTGGGGGGAGACTGCTCACAGCCAGCCAAGACTGTGGATCTCTTCAAGTTCTGCCATGAAGCAAGGTAGCTCTCTGCACTGTACAGACTGGTAAACTGAGGCAATCATGAGGGAGGGGTTGCTGGGCTATGGCCCTGTGTTGAGCCCTTCCCACCCCCCCCCACCCCCCGGGATCAGACAGTTGCACCAGGAAACATCACCTGGGTGAGGAGATGCTGGACTCTGGTGCAGGCCTGTAACAAGGAGGCACCTTCCCTGGAAAGCAGGCTCTGGGGGTCTGGGAGGGTCACCACCTCCACTTTGCCCGGGCTTTAACTGGGCATTCTAGCTTCTCATCAGTGCTTTCTCAAGCTTACTCTCCACTGGAGCCTCAGGAAAGGAGGGGGCTGGTCCCCAGGGCCCCCATCCATCCCTGCTGGGGGGAGGGCTGAATGAGCCTCATACTAAACCGTGAGCCATCTAAGTTGGCCTCTTTGATGGACTCCTTGACAATAAGCCAGTCTTTGTTGAGCTTCCGGGTGGCCTGGAGGGAGGTCTGGCCAGCAGGTATGTCATCCAAGAACTGGAGGTGGGGAATGAGCTTTTTCACCTCGGCCCTGTAGTTATAGTCTGGGGCCTGGAAGAACAAGACAGGGGCCATGAGAACCACATGAAAGTATCCTGTGGGCTGTGGGAAAATGCCTCAGAGAGCCCCTTGAGCAGGGAAAGTGCACCAGAACACCACCAGGGCCAGTGGCCTGACTGGAGCCCTGGCCTAGGATAGGCCCATGATGAGGCTGGGGGAGTCCCAGACACAGAGGGCTGAGCTATAGGTCCCTGGTGGGAGACCACAGTCCTAATACTGGGGTTCAGAGTGACCACAGCAGCCATTCCCAAGTCAAGGCTCCCCTACACCTACAGAACATGACCCCGATCTTATAGGCAGCTTCTAGGCGCTTATAGATGGATCATCATCCTCCATAAATGGATCAATGTTTTTCAAAAACCCTTCTCTGAACCTCACAATGTTGGGCCAAGGTTTACCCAATCGCCAAAGAGCAGCACCACAGTGTAGCAAACGATTTGGTCAATTCTGATAGTGTGAATTAGTCACACTAACTGTGCCGATCACAGTTATCAGCAGACTACAATGTCCCCGTGCTCAGTGTTCTCTTGAGCATAGATCAGAGTGAAAATACTTAGAACAAAAAATCTTCTTGTAATTAATTCATTTTTAGTTTTCAACATTCACTTCCATAAGATTTTGAGTTCTAAATTTTCTCCCACTCCCATTTCTCTCCCCCATCCCCAAGACAGCATGCAATCTCATATGGGCTCTACTTACACATTCATAATAAACATATTTTCCCATTAGTCATGATGTAAAGAACAATTAGAACTAATGGGAGGAACCACGAGAATGAAGCAATAAAACAAAACAAAGGAAAAGGAGAGCAAATAGTCTGCTTCAGTCTGCATTCAGACTCTATAGTTCTTTCTCTGGATGTGGATAGCATTTGCCATCACGAGGCCTTTGGAGATGTTTTAGATCCTTGTATTGCCAGGAAGGGTTAAGTTTAACAATATTAGTCATCGCACAATGTGGCTGTTATTGTGTACAATGTTCTCCTGGTTCTGCTCACTTCACTCAGCATCAGACCATACAAGTCTTTCCAGGTTTTTCTGAAGTCAGCCTGTTCATCATTTCTTATAGCACAATAGTATTCCACTACATTCATATGCCACAACTTGTTCAGCCATTCCCCAATGGATGGGCATCCCCTCCATTTCCAATTCTTTTCCACCACAAAAAGAGCTGCTATAAATATTTTTGTACATGTGGGTCCTTTTCCCATTTGTATGATCTCTTTGGGATACAGACATAGAAGTGGTGTTGCTAGGTCAAAGGGTATGCACAATTTTATAGCCCTTTGGCACAGTTCCAAATTGTTCTCCAAAATGGGTGGAGCATTTCACAACTCCACCAACAATGCATTAGTGTTCCAATTTTCCCACATCTTCTCCAACATTTATCATTACCCTGTTTTGCCACGTAAGTCAATCTGATAGGTGTGAGGTGGTACCTCAGAGTCATTTTGATTTGCATTTCTCTAATCAATCGTGATTTAGAACATTTTTTTCATATGACTATAGATAGGTTTAGTTTCTTCCTCTGAAAACTGCCTGTTCATACCTTTTGACCATTTATCAATTGGGGAATGACTTGTATTCTTATAAATTTGACTCCGTTCTCTACATATTTCAGAAATGAGGCTTTTATCAGAAACACTGGTTGTAAAAATTCTTTCCCAATTTTCTACTTCCCTCCTAATCTTGGTTGCATTGGCTTTGTTTGTATAAAACAAAATGTTTAAAGATAATGCTTGAACCACAGTTCAGGACATCCTCTGCCCAAAGTCCATATATTCCAGTGGATTTGCTAAGGATAACAAATATTAAAACCAGAGGGAGAATGTAAGGGGTAGGGGGAGCCACCATTGATTATCCCACCATTTAAAACTGTTGCCTCTGTTAGATAAGAATACGTCTTGGTCGGGTCAGTCAATCAAAACTGAGTGTAAGCAGGGCTTGTACACCTCCTTGAGTTGATCAAAGCCGTTGTATGAGAGTCTGGGTTGGCCCAAGGAACTTGTATAAAACACAAAGCGAAGGTAGCCCTCTCAGAACAAAGAGGAGATGCTGAGGATCTGGAAGGAGAGAGACCAGAGCAAGCACCACTCACCTCTGAAGAGCAAAGTTAGGACTGAGGTGCAGCAGGGAAGGGAGAGATCCCGGGAGGGTCATCCCGAACAGAAGGCCCTGACCAGGGCCTGGGGGAAGTTGGGGGCAGTAACAGGCTAGGATGCACACCCCAGGAAATGCGGAGAATCAACTGTAGATTGCTTCACCCAGTCCAAGGCTGGAAGGGAAACTCGAAAGTGGGACTGGTTCAAAGCTGCTCCCTTGCTCATGGGATAAGGCTGCAGGTAGAGCCCTCGTCGTAGGATTTAAAACAAGTAAGACACTTTATTAGTATTTTTCTGTGATTAGTTTAGAATCATCTTTTCTCTCACCTGGTCTGTAATGTCTTTTGAAGCTAAATTAGAATCTTTTTGTTTTCTTGTTGTTCCAGAGACAAGAGAAAGACCCTAGGTAGAGTCCACCTGGGGGCCACCCCAGAGCCCCTTGGTAAGAGCCCAGGGTATGCACAGTCCTGGATCATAGCAGCAAGGAAAGCCCTAGGAAGAGCCCAGACCGGCAGCAGTCTCCAAAGGAGCAGGAGAAGCTGCAGGGCCCCACGGAGCCCCATGTGGCCACAGCAGCAGCAGAAAGGCCCTGAGCAGCATCTGGGCAGCCTGAGCCTGACCACAGGAGGAGGCAAAGCCAAACCATTCCTGTACAAGGTGAGGCCTAGACTTAGCAACCAGGCTCAGGACCATGGAGGCCTACTTCTGAGTTTGACCTCAACCCAGACACAGAGGTTGTGGACTGAGCAAAAGGAGAAAACAACAGATATTACAAGGGACGCCCAAGGAAGAGAGCTGTCCCACGCCAAGTCCAAGCAGAGTCCAAGAGAAGAAATGTCCAGGCCACAAGAGAACCGGGAAGAAACGAATGACCCATGGGAGGGCAGAGAGAACAGCAAAGAGGGTTCGTGTCCTAGAACAAAGAGTGGAAGGCCTAGCCCAAGAACTACGTGTTCTGAAAAATGGAATGGACCAGGCAGAAAACAACTCCACACAGCAGCAAGTTGTATTAAAACAGAGCAAAGAGATTTGGGGGACATAGACTGAGGAAAATGTAACATCAACACCAACCCATCTGGAGAGCAGGTCACAGAACATATCAAGAAGTCATCCATGAAAACTGCTTAGAACTCTTAGAAACAGATGGCAAGTGGAGATAGAAAGAAGCAATAGGTCACCTCCCGAAAGACATGTCACAAAACAGAAATTCCCAGAAACATCATAGCTACAATCCAAAGGGAAAAAAGACAATAGCTCAAAAGAAAGAGTTCAAGTACCAATGATCCACAGAGGGTACTAGGGGGCACCACAGTGCAGAGTGCTGGGCCTGGAGTCAGAAAGACCTGAGTTCAAATCTATCCTCAGATGCTCATTGTGTGACCCTGAGCACGCATTCAACTTCTGTTTGCTTCAGTTTCCTCAATGGTGAAACAATAGCACTTCAGTTTTGTTGTAAGGATTGAATGAAATGATATTTGTAAAAAGCACTCAGCATAGTGCCTGACACACAGTAGGCACTATACAAATATTTACCTATGTCTCCCCTTCCCGTAGTCAGCATTACAAAAGATTTGGCAGCTGTCACTAAAAAGAAGAGGAGAGCTTGAAATGCATTATGCCAAAAGGCAAAAGATAAAGGCTAACAACCAAGGGCAACCTCTCTGACAAACTTAGGAAAGGAATAAATCTTTAATGGAATAGAGGGTATCTAGGCGTTCCTGGTGAAAAGGATGAGACTGTGCAGACCTTTGGAACTAGAAACACCGTCGCCAATTGAAACACGGGTATACATATCTGTTTATGAAGGTACTAGGTGGAGATGGATTGTTTATATATTAGTAGAAAGAAAAGAAATCCATGTTTTCACAGAACCCAGTGTTGTCAAGGGCCAGAGAGAAAGGTTAAAATGACAGAAGACTTATGGGTGATTTTGTTCTGTTCTGCTTAGGAGAAGACTAAAGTGGGAGGGACAGGGAATTATACTGGGGAAAGAAGGAGAATGTAAGGAAATCATTATCATGTAGCAAGTGCATCCACGGAAGAGTGGGGGAGGGGAAGGACATCCCATGACCTTCACTTTTATGTGAGCTACACGACTTAACACAATTGCATCCCTCTTATTCACCCCACACACAGGCTTTTGGCACAAAAAGACATTGAATTCAGAAGGGAAATAAGAGGGGACAGGGACAAGGGAGAGATAGAGACAGAGTTTCAAGAGAGAGGGTAGAATTGTTATGGGAGAGTCATCAGGTGAACAAACTCAAATTCTGGTGAGAGATGGGATGTAAAAAAAAAGGAAGAGAGAATAAAAACCTGGGATTAGAGGTAGGGAAATGATGTGAGAAGAGCTAGAAGAGAGAGGAAACATGCTGCTTCGCTTGCAAGATCACAAGTCAGTCAGTCAATAAAGACTTATTCAGCACCTACAATGTTCCAGGCAAACTCACTTTGTCCTACCACCTTCTTCCTATTTGTAAGAAAAGAAATGGAATCAAAGCGAGGAAAAAATACTAGAAGAAAAGATAGAAATACACAGTTAGTAATAATAACTATGATTGTGAAAGAATGGAATTCTATAAAATAGAAAAGGATAGAGGAATGGATTAGAAAGCAGAATCCAACAATATGTTGTTTAAAAGAAACACACTTAAAACACAAACATTCCTACAGGTAAAATGAGGGACTGGAGTAAAATCCATTTTGCATTAGCTTAAAAAGACTCTACACAAACAAAACTATGTAGTTAAAATTGGAAGAGAAATAGTTTACTGTGAAAAATCTTTGTAATAAGTTTCTCTCATAAAGTTCTCACATCCAAGATGTATAAAGAACTGATTCAAATTTATAAAATTAAGAGCCATTATTTCTTTGACATATAAATGGTCAA